TTATAGCCCACACTAGTGAAGCAGCGCAAGTATCTAAACTGGTACGTTTACTCTTTTCTGATTACTTTTTTTAAATAAAGCTCATTAGCCAAACAATTTTTTTTCAAATAAACTTGATTTGCCTTTTTGAATTATCATAACGTTCAATCATACATATTCAACCATGTAGAAGTACACTTGAGGAGTTGTTTTTTTAATGATTAGATATCACTGGAGTGGTGTGTAGTAGTACAGTTAATAATGTTTGTTTCAGTCACATCTGCTGACATTTGCATTTGTATGTTGAAGTATTGGGGAGATGAAGAGTCTCTGTGCGTATGCAGCCCTCTAGGTAAAAAGGTGTTTTTTGTAAATTACAGTCCATTAACTAAGAGTCCATTACTAGGAGAGGGCAGAGCACAGAACACGAACATGTAACATACGTGTCATTGGAGTTATTTTGTTGTACTTGAAACAAAGAGTTTTTAAGATATGAATTTGACTTGGATTATAAATCAGAAGTAAAACCTCTGAAATGTGTCCGGAGGTTGAAATTCTGTAGTAAAAAATGTTTCTTTAGTTGGTAATAATGGGGAAATTGGCACATTTTTAAATTTTGAAAATTCAAGTGGTTAACAGGATTTTTGAAATTCATGGCTCTGCTGCACTATACAGTGACTCCATCAATTTCCTTTAAATGCTTATCAAATTCAAAGTCGCTGAGGTGCTGGAGGTTCTCAGATTTCAGATAATAAGGTCAGCATTTTTACAAATGTGAGCCAAAGGATCAAGCTTTGTTTTTTCTACTGATGGTTACACCTGATGATGGTGTCAGAGAGAGCAGATACCCCCGGTATGGTAATTTTGTGAACACATTGCTGCCTGTGAACTCAGAAGCACCACCCACCTGTGGTTCCAACCTTCTGTTAGAGGCAGCCAGTCAGAAGAAAGTCAACTTGAAGGGAGCGTGGCCATAAGAGGAGAGGAGGCAAACTCCTTATTTCAGACAGAGGTTGATCTAAAGGGCCTACTCTAAGATAATACAGCGTATTTTAAACATGTTCAGTTGTGTGCATAAAAAACAATACAGAGTAAGAAATCAGCATAATAGGTAAGCATTTTACTCGTTTTAGTTTAGTATATTAGAGTTGGTGATTGGGCATGATCTAATGCAGTGGAGAAACACAGATTTCGATGATGATGAAAGTGACAATATAAACAGCATCATTTTATTTTTGTCTGCACTAAAATGGTAAAATAACTGGTCAGTGAGCAGCCACCGTCTACAGAAATAAGTATGCAACAATACAAACAAATAATAAACAAAAATACAAACAATACAAACAAAACAAGGGGTGCAACAATACTCGTATTGATATTGAACCGTTTGATACAGTGCTTTCGGTTAGGTACGCATATGTATCGAACAATACAAAATTTT